TCAAGCTCTGAGGTTGGTGGGGTGGAGAGAGAAGAATGACTGCCTTTCTTAGAAGTCATCTGCTCCTGGACATCTTTGTTTTCACATCATGACCCTGAAATCATAGTTTCAGCCCTTCCAAGCTCCAGGGTTCATGGGTATCAGAGGGGAAAGCCTGATCAATCCCCAGCACACCAAGCACCTACTGAGCCACAGTGGCAGGGACAGTCTTTGGGGAGTAAGTCTCATATCCTCCCATGACACCTGCGTGGGATGTGAGGAGAGGCCGTGGACTTCCATCCCATAGACAATGCAGAAAGCTCACAGCAGAGACAGGACAGCTCTCTACACACAGCATGCCATCCAGCATCTGCAGCCAGGAAGCGGGAAGTCAGGGGGTCCCCTGGGACCTGCTTCTTTCCTGCCATCTGCCAGGCAGGAGGATGCCTCTGTCCCTCCCCTGGGATGCTGGGGTGGGTGGGCTCTCAGGCTTCCCCACTATCCTATGAGAAGTGTGTGCCACAGATCGTTCTCTAGAAAGGACAGGGGATTAGCGCGGACACACACAATTAACATCCTAACTACAACAAAAGAGAAACACCGAAGGAAGGAGAAGGTGGGCAGACGGGATGGGGAGCCCTGGGCATGGGGAGCACTGAGCATGGGGAGCACTGAGCATGGGGAGCACAGAGCACGGGGAGCACAGAGCATGGGGAGCACTGGGCATGGGGAGCCCTGGGCATGGGGAGCGCTGAGCATGGGGAGCACTGCGCATGGGGAGCACTGCCCATGGGGAGCACTGCCCAGCGAGTGAGTGAGGCAAGCGGGGCTAGAAGACCTAAGATTTCCTACAAAGACCTCGCCGCCACACCTAAAGACAAGAATGGGAGACACTGGAGGCACAGAGGCCAGTGTAGGCAGCCAGGGCGGTTGGCAAGAGAAGGCCAGGCTTCCTGTAAAAGAGAGGTGGTGGCCAAGGGAAGGAGGGGAGCCTGGGTTCTGCTGGAGGCAGTGTGCTGCCCTGGGGTCCAGTTTGGCAAGGTGGTGGTGAAGATGGTGGGGGTGTTGCCTAGAAGCAGCGCAGGTTTGAAATTTGGATTTGCGGAGAATGGTGCTCCCCTCTCTGAAAGGAAGAACAGAACTGTGAGCTTCGGTCCCTTGGGACCCACATTCAAGGGAAGGCTCACCCGGGCACAAGGGAAGTATCTGGAAATGTCCCTGTGATCAGTAGGCAGTGACAGGCAGGAACACAAAGAGATGTGGACAAAGGAGAGCAGGAGACAAAGAGGCAGCAGCAATGACACCTAGAGTAACAGACCCAGAGGGACTCCGTGTGCCGACAGAACAGAGGGCTGGGCCCCAGGCCTGGCCATGACGGCAAGGCGAGCTGGAAGGAACGGCCCAGGCCCCCTGCTCCCCAGGCCAAGCCCCCATGCTGTCCCCAAACCCAAGCGCTCCCCGGCTTCTTCCCACCCGGTTCTAAATAACACAAGTGGTCGTGGGTTTCCAAATCATCTATCTGTCCAATAGCAGAGGAATACAGGACTGTGAGGAAGCCACCAAGGAGCAGGGAGTCCAAGGACCATACATGTCCCAGAGCTGCTAGACACAGGGCCAGGCAACCTCCCACCAGTTAGTTAGCTTTTTATCATTCTGACCAAATGTCACAGGGAAACAATGCAAAAGTGTGAGGGTTTATTGGGGCTCAGGTATGTCTGTGATGTGCCAAGGCAGAACATCACCGCAGAAAAAATGTCAAGTTGCACAATTCTTCACCTCAAGGTGGTCAGGAAGCAGAGAGAGAGGTAGGGCAAGGAGCTAGGGACAAGACATGATTTCAGTAATTTCTCTCATCTCCCAGTAACAATATCAAATTATGAATCCATCACTTCTCAGTGATTGGACTCTCTAGCTGGACACCAATGGTCAGGGGCCTGGTACTTCATCTCTGAACCACAACGAAGGAGAAACACTATTTACATGACGGTAAAGCCAGGTAGCCATAGGATGAGCTCCACAAGATACACCTTCACATATGGCCCAGGGGTTCCAGCTGTGAAGGCTTATGCAAATACAAGGTATAACTGAGGACAGTATGACCCTTCCTGAGCATCTGTTCCACAGCTGACCTAGGAAGCAGAGAGTTCAGCCATCTTTCCACATATAAAGAGACTCAGAGATGCTAAGTCACTTTGCCAAAGAGTCACAGTAACTAAATAGAAACACCAAGCTTCAAGTCATAGACCTTCTTCCCTTTAAACACCAGACATCACAGCAACAGTCCCAGGTGATGGGGAATCTGATTCCTCACCCAGAGTAACATCTTATTTTCGGAGAGTGTTCAAACACCCAGTGGAAAAAGTCAACGAGGTAAAATGTACACACGTGGGCTGTCAGTGGGAAAACACATTCTAAACATAAGCCGTGGATACAGCCCTTTCAAATTCAGGTCACAGACTTTTATTTTGCCTATTTCAGATTTGAAATAAACAAACACATTACCGTCAATTACCACCATCACCTCGTAAAAGAAAAATGATTTTAATGTCTGAAATTGTAGGCAGGACACAATCGTAGAGTTATGTGAAAAGCTTTGCTCTCAGCTAAAGACTTTTGCCGTCATTGGAAAGCATGTTACAGCATCCGTTTCCTCCCTGCCGAACATACTGGTTTTAGGCTTGGGTCGCATCAGCCAGGAAAGCCTCCAAGACAAAGATGTGATGGTTCTAAAATTCTTCTGCACATCAACTGCCATTCTTTCCTTCATAAAAATATCCTCAAGGAGCAGGATACAATGACAGCTTTCAGCAATATAATTTTGACCAAAATCTATAATCATGAAATAAAAAAGACTTCACTGCTGCTGAGATGCAATTCCCCCCCAGGGAGTCACAGGAGATAAGACGCATCCTGTCAGTTCAATTGTGTATGTGGGAACCTGTGGAAGGGAGCCGTGACCAGCCTCCTGGTAACAAAGCCTAGTGTAGGTGGCTAGCTCTCACCTCCAAGCTACTGCTTAAAGGCCCAGAAGCAGCAAGTCATAATGGTACATGATGGTACCCTCAGCACTTGGGAGGCCGAGGCAGGAGGATGGCCCAAAGTTTGAGGCCAGCTTGGGCTATACAGGGAGACTCTTGGCTCTAAAATAAATATAAACAAACAAGAAGGAAGCCCCGCATAGATGATCTGGACTCTTCCTGCCTTGTGTATTTGTATTGGTTTGTTTGTTTGTTTGTTTTTTACTTCTTGATGGTTCAACATGTTGGGGACTTCCTGACCAGTGAGACACTGGCAATCCTACACTGGCTAATTCAGACAGAAACCAAACTTGCCCATGAATGTGCCTTTCAAAGCCAGCCAACCACACCCCAACCCACACCCAGCCTATTGTAGCTACCACTCACCCACCACACCTGTCTTCCTCTGCCCTGAGGCAACCAGGGCCAGGTGCCAGGTAACTAGGGGCCAGCAGAGTGAAAACCCTCAGTCATCATTCAAACCAGTCCCAAGCTGTTTCCCCCGCCCTCCCCCTTTCAAGAGTGTCCATCTACCCACCCAACACACACACACACACACACACACACACACACACACACACACACACGCTGCAGCCAGGGCCTCGATCACTCCCTGCCTCCTACTGAAGAGTGGCTCAGCTCATACAAATTCTGTAGCCATTCCTTTTTATTAATGGCTTTGGTCTCCATGTCACCACTGTCTCCTCCATGATATAAGACCCTGCAGGCACAATTTTAACTGCCCGTCTTTCCTGGCACCCTGTCCTTTCTCTGTGCCATTACGCTGCTCCTGACAGAGGCACTCATGACCACCAGACCTTTGTCTGTGGCTCTGTGCATTGTGCAGCCGCTTAGGCTGGACCTCGGATTATGGATGCTGATGTTGACGCACCCTCCACAGAAGACCAGCCGAGGAGGGGGGAGCTTGAAGGAAGGCCTCAAGTTACAGCCTGGGGAGCTAGGAAGCAAAATGGGTTGAACCTCCCCAAAGCTCTAGCCACAAGCAGAATGGCAGGCAGGAAAATGAGAGGAGTTCTGAGCCCTTGCCCCAAACCCAGCCTCATATAGAAGTCAGTATTACCCGTGGGGAAGACAAGATTTGCCACGGGTGCTGCCCACCAAGTCCATCTGGTGTGTCCACGGCACATGTGACCAGTGTGTTGGCATGACCTTAGCACACCCAATCCCATAGTCGTCTTCCTAAGAAAACTGGCAGAAGGAATCAAGACAGGCTGGTGTAACACACACACACACACACACACACACACACACACACACACACACACACACACACACACACGACAAGAAGAGCAGGAAACCCCAGAACTCAGTCCCAGAACTCCTGACTGAAGAGGCTGCCATTCTGTGGAGGGGTTTTAAGGAGCAGCTGTCCAGTGACAGAAGCACTCACTGTACAAGCCTGAACCTGAGTTTGATCCCCAGAACCCATGATGGAAGAACAAAACCAACTCCAGAAAGACATCCTCTGGCCTCACAGGTGCCCACACTCACACATACAATGACAGTATCTGGAAAGTAAAACGTGTTTAAAAGGGATCATGCTCTGGTGCTCAGCATTGAACGACCTCATTCACTCCGATCTTGGTCACTACAGGACCAACTATGACTGCTGGAAGGTGGCATCCAAATGTTGATGGCCACAAAGGCTCAAAAAGGCTGCCTCTCCAGTCCCTCCCAGTCTCCATCCCTGTGAAGAGGACAGTCACCAAACTTTCAGTGATCCCCCATCAGGGCCATCAGCCTCAGGCCCTAGCTCTATCTCTGACACCGGAACAGCCCAGCATGGATGGCTTAGAAACCCCAGGGTCTCAGGAGAGCTGCCTAAACCCAGGCTGAGTGGCCCTAGGCTCTCTATTCTTGCCCAGGACCTAGATGGGAGAGATCCTTCCAACCTTGGAGCTTTAAGCCTGAGAGGGTACCAGGCCCGGGGGACACCCCTCTTCTAATGGAAGGAAAGTCTCTGTGGGGCCAGGTGTAACTCACGCTGCTTCTCCTGCAAGATGCTGGACGTGCACGCTGTAGCTCCTTCTCCTGTGGAAACAAGAAGGACATGAGCAGCTGGGTCCCTGCTCCGATGCTCCGATGCCTGTACTCCACAGAAGAGCTGCTAACAGTTGCCACTACCCCTCCAGAGCCAGGGGCGGCAGAGGCATCACCCAAGTTTCCCACCCTACCCCACCCACCTCAGAGTTGGCCCTTGGCCTTTGTGTATGACCCAGCCCTGAGCCCCCACATGACACCATTGCTGAGTGTGGTTGGCTCCCTGGTGATGCCCTGTCCTTAGCCTTCCTAGGGTTGTCTTTGCTGGCTCCTCCCTTCTCCTACTTTATGAAGCAGCTGCTGACAGGTGCCCTCTCTCCCCTTCACCCTGTCCTATGAGGATCTGAGCTGGGCACTGTGTTCAAGCAACAGTAATTAAACCTCTCCTTAGCCCAGACCTCTGTCCTCAGTTTTGATCTGTGCATCCTGCTGCCTCTGGCTTCTGTGGACACTTCCCAGACACCTCACCTTCTCCGTGACTAGGACTTCCTGAGTAACTCTGAGTTGGTCCCCCCGCCCCCCCCCAAAAAAAAATGTGTCTGGGAAAAAAAAAAAAAACTCGGTTCTCTAAAGAAGGGCTCAGGGCACTTAGGGACATCACATCTAGGATCTCCTAGACCTTGTGAGGCTGCCCTGCCCCACACCCCAACAGGACTCCAGGGCAGTGTCATCCAGGAAATGCCTCTGTCTTCCCAGCCAGTCCTCCAGGGCCTGCTGTGACTCTTTCTCCAAATGTGACTGACTCTGCATTTGTGATTCAAGACACCATCCTCAGAGCCCCACTTCCACAGCCCTCTGCCTGCCCACACTGCCTTCATGGCTCATGTCACCTGGATCCATGTCTCTCTGGTTCCCTCCTGCTCAGAATAGAGGTCTGTGAGTGGAGAGAACATACAGCCGGGGTTTGAAGGCTAGAATTTGGTTCACACCAACCCACTGCATGACCTGATGCACCTTCTTCCTGTCCCTCTCTGGGATTCATTGCTACAAAACACTGAGAACCCAATGCTCTCTAGAGATCCTCTGGGTACTAAAAGCCTAATGGTTAGACACCTTCTGTCCTTCACTTACTGTGTCTGTTGGGGCCAGTTACATAGTCTCTAAGCCAGTCTTCTGGAATTGAGGGTCCCACAGGTACCTTACTCCGAGGGTCCTTGTGTCGTGAGTTATCAGAGCACTGAGAACACAGGCAGGAAGCTAACAACTGCTTCATGAGGAGTGCCCCTTTTTGTTGTTGTTTATTTTTGAGACAAGGTCTCATTGTACAGCCCTGTCTATCCTGGAACTCTGCAGCCCAGGCTGGCCTTGAACTCAGAGATCTGCCTGCTCTTATCCTCCCTCGTGCTGAGATCAAAGGTGTGCGCCTCCATGCCCAGTTTGCCCTTACTGTTTTATTTACCGATTTACATGTGACAACCGGCTCATGACTTTGTCTTTTGTCCTCATCATAACACAAGGTGGAGCCAGATGGACATGGCCAATGGCTAATGTGGGCATGGCTCAGAATGCTCCCCAGGCCCAGCGGCAGGATAGAGCCTGCGGCAAGAAGGATCCAACTGGAGAAGAGAAGCCTGGGCATTCATGGAGTGGTCCCCACCCAGCATGATGAGGTGGCCACAGACTGGGTCCCAGGAATGAGAGTAACCCAGACGCAGACAGAAACCAGGAAAGACCCGGCATGAGACAGCAATGACAGGCGTCACTCTTGGGTATCGTCTGAGGCCACAGAGCATAGGTGCATCTGGGCAAAGTCACTTTCCCTAACACAGAAACGAGGTCACAATTCGAAGTACACATTCTGTTTCCCTGCTCACCGTGCCAAGTGCTGTGGGTGATACAGAGATGAAGAGCAAAGTGTGTACAAGGCAGGAAGAAAATCTCTGCATGGAGCACGGTGCTGAATGCAGTCAGCCATGATGGATAGGGGGGGGGACGACTTGCCTGGGGGGAGGGGAGGGGGACCAACTCTTCTCCTACTGAAGCCCCCAGCAGAGCCATGATTTGAGTTTCCAAGGGAAGAGAAAAGGGCAGGGTGTTGCAAGCGGTCAGCAAGGACCATACTCCAGGCATGCCAAGTCCAGGGGAGGCAGGATGCGGGGGTTGGTGACCCTGGGCAGGAAGCCCAGTTGCATGAATATCATGGGCAGGACAGCCAAGCTTTGGTGCAGAAACGACTTACACTCTCTCCCACACCCCAAGCTCCTGCTGCTGTCTGTGGCACCCAGAAGCAGCTACATGATTAGTTGGGTTCTAGGCAAAAGGAGCAGCACTGGCTCTGCTGTCCAGAAAGACAGAAGAACAGCAAAGGTGCCGACTTTGTTCTGAAGATTCTCAACCGGGGTCTGCCGAATGCCAGCGTGTGCTCCCTCCTGCTCAGGGTTCCTTGCAAGCAGAGCAGTGACTCTCGGTGGCCTGGGACCCCCACTCCCTGGCTTAGAAAACACACGCTGGGAGCCCACCATCTCCCAAGTCCTCCGCTGCCAGCCTCTGCCAGTTACTATGCATAATGGCCAGCTGGCGAGTGGAGGGACACACCTGCCCTCCTGTGCACCTGCTGTCCCCAGCTAGGGCTAACCAGAGTCCTCACCCTCCAGGAAGGGAGCACTCACTTCCTGGATAGGATGGGTAATAGTTTGCTCCCTCGGAGTTACATTCGGGATACACCGTGACGCTGCCAGCCCAGGGAGACACAGCAGATGGAAGCATCTGTCCCCTACCCTGCCTGTGCCCAGGCTCTTGTTGGAGGGAGGGGAGGAGGTGGGACAGGAGAGCCAGATAGGACTGAGGAAAGCCAAGCACCCATCTTGGGAGGCCTCAAGGTGTTGCAGCACAGGACCACATCCAACAAAGCCTCACTCAGCCTGGGGCACATGACCTGCCGACTTCACTCACAGACCGCAACACTGGAGATAAAATAATTCAGAGCCGGGGAACAGTCAAGCCCAAACAAAGGGCTCTTTGGAACATTGGCACAGCCCTGACCATAATTTAAAAAAAAAAATGCCTTGGCATTTCTTACACACCCACCAGATAAGGGAGACCATTCTGGTTCACCACCTCTGGGTTCTCCCACTAGGCGACAGAAGTTCCACACCTAGACTCTTTATGAGCTGCTCTTCCCGCTTGGTGCTTTCGTGTCCACAAAGCAAGTTCAGTTCGAGCTGGGGCAGGATTTTCACCAGCAAGATTATTTGATGGAGAAGTGGCTCAAGGCCCTGAGAGTCTCGCTGCTGGGGAAGCTGGAGTGTAGAGAGTGGGAGAAGCCAGGAGGCCCATGACCTTGAGATACTGGATGCTAATAGATTTGGAGAAGGGGGTGTTAGGGAAGGAGATCAGAGACAAGCTCAGAGATCTCACAGCCAGCCAGGAGCACGGCTACTGCTATGTAAGCTCGGCAGGCTATCCCTGGGAGCACAGGGAGTGTATGTCCTGCCCTGTGCTTTCCAGATCTAAATAACGGTGCCTTCCACCTATGTGAAATAGGCCCCCTTCACAGATAAGGAGATGGAGACCCAGTGGAGCTCCATCACTTGGCCATGATGAGGACTTCTCCTTCCCATGACCCCGTCTCTCCCTCTAGTAATCTCTAGGCTGTAGCTTCTTGAGAGGGCTCAGGTGGTAGTGGTGGGGTGTCTTTGAGGCCAAGAGGCCGAGAGTGGGTAGAAAGAGAGCAGAAAGGGGACTCTCAGCAAAGGGTGTTGAGGCTGGCCAGTGTTTCCTGCAGACAATGATGCTGAATTTAGGTATCCAGTAAGACGGATGAGGACACTGGGGAAGAAGGCCAGAGTGAGTCTGCTTTTTGTTGTTGACATTTTGTTTTCTCTTTATCAATTTTGTTCTTTGATATTTTACAGATATATACAGTGCGTTCTGATTATCCTTGCCACCTGTCCTCCCTTGTCTCCCTCCAACCCCTTGTTTTTTGATAAGAGGGGCTCACCATGTTGCCCAGGCTGGCTCAGAATTCAAATCCTCCTATCTCAGCCACACCACCACCATCACCACCCAGTGTGCTAGGATTACAGAGCTGCTACCACAGTGATCCTACCATCCACACTATAAGTGATGTGTATGGGGGTCTGGGGGAGGGCTGCAACAGCAGCAGGCTGGCCTTTTGCCTGCTCATCCCAGACTGGCTTTATCTCTCCGGTGACAAAGGAATCATCTAAGCTGCGGAAACCTGGTTTCCTGATTAGCAGGCTCCCAGGACGTGGGCCATTAACCAAATGTGCAGCTGGCTCAGCGTTGCCTAAATGAGACCCCACTTGGCCTGGAACTTTCCAGGGCCCCTGGGCCCAACCACTTTGTCTCAGCTTAAGCTTGCTCCTATCACAGGAGCTGCAGGAAGCATTCACAAGCCGAATAGTTTACGCAGAGAGGGCTGGAGGATGGGGTTGGAGGTTGAGGGCTCAGGGCAGGGGTTGGAGGCTGGGGACTGAGCTAGGGGCTGTAATCCCATAAATCTTGCCTTTCTCAAGTTCACACAGTCTGGGGAGTTTGGCCACAGCATCTCCCCAGAGAAGACACTTCCAACCCTTGCTAATGACTTCCCAAGTGATCTCTTTCCTCTTCCCACCCGTCTTCCAGAAAACCACCAGCTCCCTCCAAGAGACAAAATGTGTAACTGTGAACCAATCTCTTTCAACAAACACACATAACAAGAGAAACCATCCCCTGCACTCAAAGGGAGGTTGTGTGGCTCCTGGGGAGGATTTCAGACCCTGGAGAAGGATCTGGGAATTCTGGATCTGTTCTTCCAGGGCATGGGATGCTAAAACTCCTATTTGCCCTATACCCTCCTGTTCCTGGGCCTTCGAAGCCCTAACAGGCTCAGGCCAGCTGTTCAGTTCACGAAGGAGGCTGTCAAGGAAAGACTGACCTGCCCCTCCTAAACAGGTTATTCCCCAAATGCTGAGCACTGCTCAGCTGCAGGTAATAGTTCATTACCCCCAATCCCCAGGCCCCAGTGACTAGGTCCTGGGGTACGCCTT